AGAACCAGGCCTGGACCATGGTGACCTCCTGGGTCTGCCCTTGAGCAGCATCTCCATTTCATTCAACCTTCAGAGACCACATCTAGAGGTGTTTCATCAAGAGGCAGAGTTGTACAGATGACCCCACAATTCCCTACACACACAACACACAACAGTCCCCGTGGGTCCCCACAAACCATTACTCCCACATCCTGGTAGAACTCTCCACCTCCAGAGGTGCCATCATGTGCTACACGCAGGTAAGCCTCCTCCATGAAGCCCACGCTCTCTGAAGCAGTCATCCTGAGTCACCCCAGCCCAACACACAAGTCAGCATTCCAACGCCACGGCCCCTCCCACATAGAGCCAGGGGGTCCGCCTGACCCCCGCAGACCCCAGACTCACCGCTGGAGCAGTCGGGCCCTCCCCAGCCGGGCTCACAGTGGCAGGTGTCCGGGGAAACGCATCGGCCATGCACGCACTCTTCCGTACACAGGGCTGCAAGGACAGGAGACAGGAAGGAGAACCAGAACAAACAGTGAAAACCAGCCAACAGGTCAAGGAGCATAAACCACTTCGTAACAACTCCCTGGAGCCCAGGGATGCTCTGAAAGCTGACACATAACATTAACCATCACACTGGCTTTGGGAAAATCAAGCTACTCCTGACCGGAGTCATTTAATTAACTCCAAAATGGATCCGAGAAGAGTGCGTTTCATCCCAGCCTCATTTCCTAAAATGGCACCCAAGCCCAAGAAATAGTAGCCCCGGTGGCTTCTCAAGACTATTTCCCGCAGTGTTTAACACTTGGGGACCTTCCACGAACCCCCAACCCTTAAATCCACGCTCCTGTCCTCTTTCCCATCCGCTCAGGAAATGACCTGTCATTTCCATCTTTGACTTGCCCCGATGTCTTTCTCAAAGGTCTTGAAATATATCAGGCTGCCTGGAAGGAGCGAGTTCCTCTCCCTTTCCCCCACCTTTCTCCTCTCCTCCCCAAATGTCCCTATTTTGGGGCTGTCAAATGTCAGCAATCTGCAAAGTACACAAACGCTGGGGGAAAAGCAACAGCTAATTATAAGAAAGTAATTAAGAGAGACATCCACGATGGTGATAATTGTAATTAGAAAGTGCCTGGCAATTTCTTATCACGCAGTCAAACGCTACAGCGTCCTGAATCAGGAGGCAGCAGCAGCAAAGTTTCCGTCAACTATTCCAGCGCTGGGGAGGCTCATTGGCAGGTTTGAGGAAAGGAGATTATTTCTCTCTTCCCTTTGACAGAACCCTTGCTTTCTCAAGGTCATCCTTTGCTCCTGTGAGATCTGCCCCACCATCTAATCCATCAGGGGAGGATTACAGAAACTCCCCCTTTGCCACCCCCATCAATTTTGAAAGCTTTGGGAAATCAACAGCTGCCATCAACCCTGTCAATTTCTTAGAAGGAATCTAGATAAAGAAGTGCCTTTTTCTGAAAGCAACTGTAGACCTTCTCTCCGCCTAGAGCTGGCCTGGGCTAGCGAGTAGGCGCCCCCCCTTATATAAGTTTTAAGTGGCTGCTGCTGGCCTCCAAACACCCGCCCCATTGCCATGCCAACTGCCTGGGCACCTCCTGAATGCCCACCATGAGACACTGTCAGGTCAATAACCAAAACCCACTGCCATCAAGTTGATTCCAACTTATGGTGGCCCCATATGTTACAGAGTTTGAATGCTCCATAGGGTT